GCTACATTGCCAAATTCATGTATTAAGTCTAGTAGTTTTTTGATGGAGTCTCTAGGGTTTTGTATGTATAATATCATGTCGTCTGCAAATAAGGACAGTTTTACTTCCTCTTTTCCAATTTGGATGCCTTTTGTTTCTTCTTCTTGTCTAATTGCAATGGCTAATACTGCCAGTACTATGTTGAACAGGCATGGTAAGAGTGGGCATCCCTGTCTTGCTCCTGTTCTTAGCGGAAATGGTGTTAGTTTTTGTCCATTGAGTATGATGTTGGCTGTGGGCCTGTCATATATGGCTTTTATTATGTTGAGGTATGATCCTTCTACTCCCACCTTGCTGAGAGTTTTTATCAAAAATGGGTGTTGGATTTTCTCCAATGCTTTTTCTGCATCAATTGATACGACCATGTGGTTTTTTTCTTTCAGTTTGTTTACGTGATGTATCACGTTTATTGATTTGCGGATATTGTACAATCCTTGCATCCCTGGGATAAATCCTACTTGGTCATGGTGAATGATCTTTCTGATGTACTGCTGGATCCAATTTGCTAAGATTTTGTTGAGGATTTTGGCATCTATGTTCATGAGGGATATTGGTCTGTAATTCTCTTTCATTGTGTTGTCTTTACCTGGTTTTGGTATTAGGGTGATGCTGGCTTCATAGAATGAGCTTGGAAGTGTTCCTTCCTCTTGGATTTTTTGTAGTAGTCTGAGGAGGATATGTTTTAGTTCTTCCTTGAATGTTTGGTAAAACTCCCCTGTGAAGCCGTCTGATCCTGGGCTTTTGTTTGCTGGAAGCTTTTTGATGACTGCTTCAATTTCTTGGATAGTTATTGGTCTATTGAGATTTTTAGATTCTTCCTGATTGAGTTTTGGAATGTTGTATTTTTCTAGAAATTTGTCCATTTCCTCCATGTTGTCTAGTTTGTTGGAGTAGAGCTGTCCATAGTATTTTTTAACAATCATTTGTATTTCTGTGGGGTCTGTTGTTATTTCGCCTTTATCGTTTCTGATTTTGTTTATTTGAGTCTTCTGTCTTTGCTTCTTGGTGAGCCTGGCTAGAGGTTCATCAATCTTGTTTATCCTTTCAAAGAACCAGCTCTTGGTTTCATTGATTTTCTGTATTGTTTTTTTGGTCTCTATGTTATTTATTTCTGCTCTAATCTTTATTATCTCCTTCCTTCTGCTCACTCTGGGGTTTTCTTGTTGCTCTCTTTCTAATTCTTTGCTTTGTAGAGTTAGATGATTTAGTACCATTTTTTCTTGTTTTTTGAGATAGGCCTGTAGAGCTATAAACTTCCCTCTCAGGACTGCTTTCATTGTGTCCCATAGGTTTTGGATTGTTGTGTTTTCATTCTCATTAGTTTCCAGGATGTTTTTAATTTCTTCTTTGATCTCATTGGTAACCCAATCAATATTTAATAGCATGCTATTCAGCTTCCAGGTGTTTGAGTATTTTGGGTTGTTTTTATTGTAGTTTATTTCTAATATTATGCCATCGTGGTCTGAGAAGATGCTTCGTATGATTTCAGTCTTCTTGAATTTGGGGAGACTTTGCTTGTGACCCAATATATGGTCTATTTTTGAATCTGTCCCATGAGCATTTGAGTAGAATGTATATTCCGTGGCTTTGTGGGGAAGTGTTCTGAAGATGTCATTTAAGTCCATCTGATCTAGTGAGTCATTTCGGATTGCTGTTTCTTTGCTGATTGTTTGTCTAGAGGATTTATCCAGTGATGTCAGTGGTGTATTAAAGTCCCCTACAATGATTGTATTGTTGTCGATCTCTCCTTTGATATCTTCAAGGAGTTTTTTTATGTACTTGGGTGCTCCTGCTTTGGGTGCATATATGTTTACCAGGGTTATATCTTCTTGTTGTATTGATCCGTTTAGTATTATGAAGTGGCCTTCCTTATCTTTTCTTATGGCCTTCACTTTGAGGTCTATTTTGTCCGATATAAGTATTGCTACCCCAGCTTTCTTTTCCTTTCCATTTGCCTGAAAGATATTTTTCCATCCCTTCACTTTCAGTCTGTGTGAGTCCCTTATAGTGAGGTGGGTCTCTTGTAGACGGCAAATGTATGGGTCATGTTTTTTACCCATTCAGTCACTCGATGTCTTTTGGTTGGAGCATTTAGTCCATTTACATTTAAAGTTATTATTGAAAGGTACTTGTCTGTAGCCATTTATTTTTTTGTGTCGCTGTTTTCTTTCTGAGCTTCTTATTTCCTCTTTATACACCAGTCCCTTTAGCATTTCTTGCATTGCTGGCTTGTTGGTGATAAACTCCCTTAGCCTTTTTTGGCCCGTGAAGCTTCTTATTTCCCCTTCAAGTTTGAATGATAGCCTTGCTGCATAGAGTATTCTTGGATTCAGTCCTTTGCTTTGCATCACTTTGTAAATTTTTGTCCATTCTTTTCTGGCCTGATGTGTTTCTGTTGAGAAATCATTTGATAATCTAATGGGAGATCCCTTGTATGTAACTTTCCGTCTCTCTCTTGCAGCCTGTAAGATTCTCTCTTTGTCCTGAACATTTGCCATGGTAATTATGATGTGTCTTGGTGTGGGTCTTTTCGGGTTCACCTTGTTTGGTACTCTCTGGGCTTTTGTGACTTTTTTCTTCCCCACCTCAGGGAAGTTTTCTTATATTATTTCTTCGAATAGGTTTTCTAATCCTTGTTCATCTTTCTGTTGTTCTGCCAACCCTATTATTCATATGTTGTTTAGTTTCATATTGTCCCAAAGCTCCCTTAGACTCTCCTCCTGTCTTTTAATTTTTTTCTCCAATTGCAGTACAGTTTGGGTGTGTTTTGCTTCCTTGTCTTCTAATTCACTAATTCAGTCCTCCGCTTCTCCTAGTCTACTGTTGATACTTTCAATGGTGTTTTTTATTGCAGCTATATCGTTCTTCATTTCTTCTTGGTTCTTACATAATTTATTGATTTTTTTCATCTGTTTCTTCTTGCTTCTTGCATAGGTAATTGATTTTTTCATCCGTTTCTTCTTGCTTCTTGCATAAGCTGTTGATTTTTCCTCCATCCGGTTTATGTACTCTAGGGCCCTTATTCTGAATTCTTTTTCTGTCATGTTGCATTCCACTGTATCACTTAGCTGCTTTTCTGGCAATTCCTCCTTTTCTTTCCTTTGGGGGTTTCTTTGTCTACCCATGTTTGATCTCACTGACATATCTAGACGTTGAGTCGTTCAGTGGCTGCTCTCTGGGTGGCAGTGGCTCCTTGGGCTGTGGTTGCTCCCCGGGCGGTTGCCATAGCAGCTGCTCCCCAGTTGGCAGCAGCTCCTCTGGTGGGTGCTGTTCGCAGCTGTAGTGGCTCTTCTGGCTGGTAAGGGGAGGCTTCACATACAGCTGCTGTTCCTCAGACAGAGGGTGTGGTGCTCAGGAGGCTGCTGTTGCTTGGACCTGCTGCGTTGATTTAAAGGCACAAAATACAACACAACAAGGCACCACGTACCAGACACTGAACACAAATATATTCACGATATTAATAACCCCAAATAAAGGTGACCACCTGAATTAAGAGAATTAGGGGATAAGGAAGAAAGAAGAGAAAAAGATAAAAGAGATAAAAGAAAAGAAAGGAAAAGTAGGGAAAAAAAGGAGTGCAAAAATGAAGTTGCAAAAGAGGGGGGGAAGAAAAAAATAAAGAGTGAAAAGAGAGAATGAAGTAGAAGAGGGGAAGATTCTCTTTATATGAGGAGACAACTGTGATAGAACCGCCACTAATCCCAACAAATTCCAGCAACAGCTCCCTGGAGATGAATGCAAACTAGAAAAAACCAATAATATCAAAAGAGGCAAGGAAAAACAGAAGCACAAAAACAACCAGGGTGGAGGGCGGGGGGTGGAGGGAGGGGAAAAACCAGCAGAAAAAAATAAAAAGAAAAAGCAAAACAACCTCACAAACAGTCCTAAAACACACACACACACACACACACACACACACACACACACACACAAACAATATACTCAACAATCAAGCAAACAGCAACAAAACAATAGAAAGATAAAAGAGAAAAAATAATTTTGTATAGTGAAAAAAGATAAGGGATATGTGTATAAGGATATAGAGCAGTGGATTGGAAATAGGATATATACGTAGGGTGAAATTTTGACAGGAGGTAAACAGAAGGAATAGGGAAAATCTAAAGCAGGAACAGGGGAAGAGAAACAGGACAACAAAAGGGGAAAAGTGAGGGAGAGGGTTTTAGCATAGAGGTAAATTTGAGGTAGGGAAAATTGATGCTAAAGGAACAATGAAGATAGAATGGATAATACTAATCCCAAAATAAAATAAAGAGAAAATAAAATGGCACTTTAAAAAATGGTAAAATGGTAGCAGTAATAATACTGGTTAAAAATAAAAATGTAGTAATTAAAAGGGTAAAATCAGGTGATGGAAAAAGAAGAAGAAAAAAATTGGCTTCTTAGTTAAAAGGTGAAAAAAGAAAAAAATATTTGCAGTAGTGAAGGTCCTACGGTTCTTCTACTCCTCAGTCTGGCTCGCTTTAATCCTGCCAGGTATTCAGGAGAGTGCTGAATTTCCCTACGATACACTGTTCCTCCGTGTTGCAAACCACAGTCCTGATTTTAAAGCAGGCCGTATTTGTGTCCCAGACTGCCTTAATATGTGTTTAGCTAAGAGTCAGTTTGTGGCTCAGCCTCTGGGTGGCAGTGTTTTTGGGTTGGCCTCTGAGGCTATAAGGCTTCTCTATCCAGTAAGAAGGGTTTATATTCTCTGTTGCACTTAAAACTGGTTTGGGGAGGTCCACATTGACATTTTTTATTCTATAATGAACTAGAACTTGACAAATTTAATAGTCATGATAATGATATTAAATAAATTTGAAATTTGAAATAAAATATTGAAATAGTTATTGAAATGAGCTATATAAAATAAATTATCAATAAGTACTGTGGGAAGCACTTTGTGGGTATTGACTTTGATTATAGAAAATGTATTTGCTTCTATTCCTTTTGCCATTTAGGTCGCTGTGTATTTCAGATCTGGAAACCTCTGGAACAAGTAATCACAGAAACTGCAAAGAAGATTTCAACTCCTGTAAGTTAAAGACAGCTTTCATTAGAAAGCACATTTTGATTTTTAAGTATCATATTTGACAGTAATTCCAAAAAAAGTCTTGAATTTTCCAACTTTGTGGAAGGTTTACTTCTTTTATTATATCCTCAGAGAGTTTGTCTCATTTATTGATTTATATTCTTTTAAGCTTCTTGGTCACAGTTTTATATCCAACCTTTTTTATGGTTTTGACATCTAATTATTTCTTACTATTGCATTCTTTTAGTATTATAACATCAATTTTGAGGTAATTTATTTTCCTTGTTTAATTAGTATTCATTTGTTCACTTAGTGATTGTATACTGTAAACCAGTCCCTGTGCCATGAGCTGGGTATGGCTGGTGAACAAAATATATGTGGTCTCTGATCTGGTGTGGCCCACACAAGTGTTTATTTCATCCTGAAATTTGAAACTAATCCCCTTGTACTGCCACAACTGGTCATCTCGAACATAAAATTATTATTTTCCAAACTTGAAATCGGTAGGGCTTTTACATTAATCTACTAGCATCATATCTCCACTGCTGAGCTAAAGGTAAGTGATGAATAAATGATAGGTGACTTTATAGGGTGGTAAACTGGTTTGGGACCACTGGAGACAATACAAAGAGAATTCACTGAAACATCTTACCTAATAATAGACAAACATGAAATTGACCTTACTTTTGCTATGCCTTAAGCCACGCCCACCAGCCAATCAGAGCGACTATATGCAAATTAACACAACCAAGTTGGTGGCCAGCAGCCACAGAGCTGGAGCGAGCAGGAGGCTTGGTTGCTCCAGTGATGTAGGAAGCCAGCCTGCCACGGTCTGCTCTGAGCTACACTCAAAGCAACAAAGTTTCAATTATAGAAGGTAAATAAACCCCAGATACCTGCTTCCAGACACCATGGCCACGAAGCTGGAGCGAATTAAAAAATAAAGGAAAAGCTGGGAGCTTCAGTCGCCAGGGGGCTTGGTCAGTCTGAAAACAGCCATCAGCCCCTCACCCAGGCTGGCCAGGCACCCCAGCGGGACCCCCACCCTGATCCAGACACCCTTCAGGGCAAACCAGTTGGCCCCCACCCATGCACCAGGCCTCAATTCTATATAATAAAAGGGTAATAATGCAAATTGACCCTAACAGCAGAATGACTGGGAATGACTGGTCACCATGACACACACTCACCACCAGGAGGCAGATGCGCAATGCAGGAGCTGTCCCCTGATGGTCAGTGCTCTCCCTCAAGGGGAGCTCTGCTCAGCCACAAGCCAGGCTGACGGCTGCCAGTACAGCGGTGGTGGTGGGAGCCTTTCCCGCCTCCTCAGAAGCACTAAGGATGTCCGACTGCAGCTTAGGCCTGCTCCCCGCTGGCAAGTGGACATCCCCCAAGAGCTGCTAGGCTGCCAGAAAGATGTCTGACTGCCAGCTTAGGCCCAATCCCCCAGGGAGCAGGCCTAAGCCAGCAGGTGGACATCCTCCAAGGGGTCCCAGACTGCAAGAGGGCATAGGTTGGGCTGAGGGACCCCCCCGAGTGCACACATTTTTGTGCACTGGGCCTCTAGTTACAGTATTACCATTGACTTCTGGGAAATAGATGCCATCTGGGATAGATCAGTTTGGCTTGTGGCAGTTTGAGAAAGAACGTCTTGTTTTAGGAAAAGCATTACAAGTTTGTATGGCTTAGTCATAAACAACAACCTCACTTTCAAAGTATAACATACTGACAAATAATAAAACTCAGGTTGAAAAGAACTGTAAGAGATTTTACAGATCTATAAATGCATGTCTCTGATTAGAAGGAGCATGTATTTATTTTCTATTTTTCTATTTATATTTTATTCCAATAAACTATTAATAGGTAGTTAGCATTTATTCAATAAATATTCATTAAGCACCTAGTATAAACCAGGCATTATTGTGTAGAATGGGATAGAGTAATGAACCAGACAAAGACAATGCCATCTAGGACAGTGGTTCTCAACCTGTGGGTCGCGACCCCTTTGGCGGTCGAACGACCCTTTCACAGGGGTCGCCTAAGACCATCCTGCATATCAGATATTTACATTACCATTCATAACAGTAGCAACATTACAGTTATGAAGTAGCAACGAAAATAATTTTATGGTTGGGTCACAACATGAGGAACTGTATTTAAAGGGCCAGAAGGTTGAGAACCACTGATCTAGGAGCTTACATCTTTAGTGGAGACAGTTAAGAGATGAATACATAAGATATATGATATGTAGAAGTGTTGACTGAAGGTAAGAGGTTAAAAAATAACAACAGAGAGGAATCTATATTTATAGATGAGGGAAGGCCTCTGAGAAGATGAGGGAGCAGAACCTGTGAACATCTCAAGAAAGAGTTTTGTAGGCAATGGGAAATACTGCAAAGGTCCTGAGGTAGACATATGTTTAGCAGCAAGAGTAACTCCAGTGGATTATGGAAAGAGAATAGTTTGGGCCCAGATTACTTAGGGCCTAATAACTGATGAAAACTGCAGATTTTCCTTTAAGTATAATGGAACCTTATGGAAGGTTTTGAGCAAAGGGGCAATATGATTTTTTATTTAAATTGTTAATTTGTCTGTTGCATAGAATATAGACTAGATATAGCGGTTGCCAATAGGTAGTCTGTGAGGTCTGAAAGGTTGGGTGACTGCTGACTAGAATTAACCACAGTACATTGAAACCAATTAGAAGGCCTTGCGATAGTCCCGGTAATAAATTATAGTGACTTGAAATAGAATAATAGGAATGAAAAAAATACATAGTTCTTAAGTTGGTTTTTTTTCTCTTTTTTTTATTTTTTCTCTTTTTTACAAATTTTTTTTATTGATTTCAGAGAGGAAGGGAGAGGGAGAGAGGTGGAAATATCAATGATAGGGAATCATTGATTAGCTTCTCCCTGTACTACCCCTACTGGGGATTGAGTCCACAACCCTGGCCTGTGCCCTTGACCAGAATCAAACCCAGACCCTTCAGTCTGCGGGCTGACACTCTATCCACTGAGCCAAACGAGCTAGGGATCCCTATTATTTTAACTAAGAAAAAAAAGGTGAATAAATAACATAGTCTTTTTTTTAAACATTTCACATTTATTTACACCAAAATTGAATGTTTTATCACCTTTCATTCACATTTAAAATCACTCTTGCCTGGTGTTCCCTTTCTTTCTTTCTTCCTTCCTTCCTTCCTTCCTTCCTTCCTTCCTTCCTTCCTTCCTTCCTTCCTTCCTTCCTTCCTTCCTTCCTTCCTTTCTCTCTCTCTCTTTCTTTCTTTCTTTCTTTCTTTCTTTCTTTCTTTTTATTTTCTTTATTATTAAGGTACTAGTAGCTCTCTGCAGGGCCTGACCGCTCCGTGCCCACTGCCCAGAAGCTCTCCGCGGCCCAGAGGCCTATCCGTGGCTGGGAAATGCATACGACTGTTCTCAGGAACTCCAATAAAGGGCTTCCTTCCTCTTTCTCGTCTGGCTTTCACCCCTGAGCCTCTGCCACCAGCCCCTCCTGTCACACTATCCTCCACCCCCTCCACCCTCTGGCCACCCGGATGTGACCTTGCCCGGGAGTCGGGGGCCACTCGACTCTGCTCAGCTCGCCAGTTCCTTCTCTTCGTATGCAAGCATTCCAAGCCCTGGCTGGCCAGAGGCCCACCCATGGCTGGGTGCGGAATGCTTGCTTCGTCGCTGTGGGGATGAAGCAAGCATTCCACCAGGCCGCTCACATTGCCTGCTCTCAACGGCCACCGGCCTCCCCTGCCCCATCCCCCCGGGGAGGGACTGGGGGACTCCTGCGGGGCTGAGACGACTGGGTGCCACCATCTTTGTGATGGGGTGACAGTTAATTTGCATATTACCCTTTATTAGATAGGATTATATATGTGTCCTTATCCCCTGTTTGCCCTCTCCCACCCCGCTCATGCCCTCACCCCCCTGGTGCCTGTGTCCATTGGTTAAGCTTATATGCATGCATACAAGTCCTTTGTTTGATCTCTTCCCCTTTCCCCCACCCTGCCTTACCTTCCCTCTGAGGTTTGACGGTATGATCAATGCTTCTCTGTCTCTGGATCTGTTTTTGTTCATCAGTTTATGTTGTTCATTATATTCCACAAATGAGTGAGATCATGTGATATTTATTTTTCAATGACTGGCTTATTTTGCTTAGCATAATCCTCTCCAGTTCCATCCATGCTGTTGCAAATGGTAGGAATTCCTTCTTTTTTACAGCAGTGTAGTATTCCATTGTTTAGATGTACCACAGTTTTCTAATCCACTCATCTGCTGATGGGCACTTAGGCTGTTTCCAGATCTTTGCTATGGTGAATTGTGCTGCTATGAACATAGGGGTGCATATATCCTTTTTGATTGGTGTTTCTAATTTCTTGGAATATATTCCTAGAAGTGGGATCGCGGGGTCAAATGAGAGTTCCATTATTAGTTTTTTGAGGAAACTCCATACTGTCTTCCATAGTGGCTGCACCAGTCTGCATTCCCTCCAGCAGTGCACAAGGGTTCCTTTTTCTCCGCATCCTCTCCAGCACTTGTCATTTGTTGATTTGTTGATGGTAGCCATTCTGACAGGTGTGAGATGGTACCTCATTGCCATTTTGATTTGCATCTCTCAGATGAGTAGTGACTTTGAGCATGTTTTCATGTGTCTGTTGGCCTTCCGTATGTCCTCTTTCAAAAGCATCTATTTACGTCCGTTGCCCATTTTTTGATTGGGTTGTTTACCTTCCTTTTGTTACTTTGTATGTGTTCCCTATAAATGTTGGAGATTAAACTCTTATCGGTAATAACATTGGCAAGTATATTCTGCCATGCAGTGGGCTTTCTTGTTGTTTTGTTGATGGTTTCTTTTGCTGTGCAGAAGCTTTTTATTTTGATGTAGCCCCATTTTGTTTATTTTCTCTTTAGTTTCCATTGCCCTAGGACAGTGGTCGGCAAACTGCGGCTTGCAAGCCACATGCGGTTCTTTGGCCCCTTGAGTGTGGCTCTTCC